CAGATGTGGAATCTTAGGCCAGCCAGTTAACCTCTCTGTCTTTTGAGTTTTCTCACCTGTCAAAAGGGCTGAGAGTCCAGAGGCCTTTTTAAATTCTACAGCTCTACAATTGGCCCATCCCCCTGCCTGTCTGCACAAACCAGCCAACGAGGAGAGCCTTGGCGGCCTGTGCACTCTGGAGCCAAGTGCTGACTCCCTGCTGGTGAGGAAGGCATCCTCCCAAAGCGCTGCTCTCAGGGAGGCAGGGGGCTTTTCAAGTCGGAGCTGCTCTCCTCGCAGCTGCTCTGCAGGAGGGAAAAAAACCTGGATTTTAAAGAAGCAAATACTTTTTTTTTTTTTAAAAACAAAATTAACTCACAGCTGCAAGCAGCACAATGAAAGCACATTTTAAAATAATCAGATGCTTTAGGGGCCTCTGCTGCCAGAACAACTTCAGTCAGAGCTGCGGCCGGCTGCCTTTCAAGGCTGCAGCTCTGGGCGCCAACTGTCCAGGGGTGAAGTGAGGCCGAAAGCTGTTGGTGTCAGCAAAGAGGCCTAAAGTTTTATGATTTCGGGGTCCCTTAAAGGCCTCAGCTGTTTGTTTGTTTGTTCTGTTATAATTAAGATGCATTACATATTTTTGAAAGGCATATGACAGCTAATAGCTTCTTTTTAAAGGGTCATTTCATTAAATATTTTGAAAAAATGTTTAGTGATCTCTTAAATTCCATTTAATTAACCAATTTTTATTTTATATCAGAAATAAAATGTGAGTACATGCAGTCACTGAAAGGTGCCTGAGAAGACCAAGGTCTAAAATCATGCTAGTTTCTGAATTTCCACATACACTCGGTGCACTGAATTTTAGATAAAGATGCCATATAGTTAGAGGGTTGTTTAAAACACTCCTCTCTTGCTCTGGCCTGTTTGGCTCAGTGGTTAGAGCACCGGCCTGCAGACTGAAGGGTCCTGGGTTCGATCTCCATCAATGGGTGTGTACCTAGGTTGCAGGCTCGATCCCTGCCCAGTCCTGGCTCATGCAGGAGGCAACCAATCCATGTGTCTCTCCTACATCGATGTCTCCCCCTCCCCGCCCTTCTCTCTCTCTCTTTCTCCCACTCTCTGAAAAGCAATGAGAAAAAATATCCTCCAGTGAGAATTTAAAAAATTTTAAATATTCTTCTCCACCATGATGTATCTGCATCTGTATGTGAATTTCTGCATGTTGATCAGGCTGCTGGGTTGACCTTAGAAGAAAAAGACATAATGGAGTTGAATATCTTGAGAAAAGTCTAATCCAATACTTAACACACAGGAGAAGCCAACTTTGCCTAAGATTATAATTAGGATTTTTCATCATGAAAAACTGAAGGCCAAGAATCACTTTGATTGCTAAGGCTGAGCACAGGGACTTAAAGTCAGGTGACTTTAGGGCAAATTCCTTCTGAGCCACCTGTTAATGGTCTGACCGTGAGCAGGACCCTGCATCTCCCCTTTCTCACCTGCACAGCAGAAATAATTGCTACCTCACCTAATGTCCTGAGGATTATAGAGGAGTGCATCTATAGAGTGAGCATCCTATCTGCTCATATTGGAGTCTAGCCTGACAAGCATTTATTGAGCATCTACTATGTTTTCAGTAAATGTTCCCTTTCCTTTATTTTAAAGCACTGATTGAAATCTCAGGAGTATAAGTGGATTTAATATCTTCTGAAGTTTGAAAAAAATAGACCTAGGCCAAATGAGAAACAATACTGGGCAGAAAAAGAGTGGGCCTTTTTACCTCAAGATTGGAAACATCACTAAGTTCAAAAAAAGTATTTGTATAAATTAAGGTATGCTCTATATTTAACAGGCTTTAAAAGATAACTAGAAAAAAATAATTTGAAACAGACCTAATCTCTTGAGATTGCTCTTCTCAAAATAAACCATGTTTTTAAATCAGAGTCAGGAACCTGGCTATGATTGAAAGACAATTCCTTTGTTCTCATTGTAATTAGTAATGATGATGTTATCTTACTTTGGATTTTGAAGATAGCCAGCCTATTATCTTCATAATTAAGAGTACTGAGTAGAACCACATGATGTTGTTAAGGCATAAGCCTGTCTTTCTTTAATTTAACAATAATAGCAGCAATGGTAATAATAATGTCAAAGCTATTTTAAGCTTTGTACATAGAACTTATTAATACTTATAAGACCCTTTGTAGTAGTTATTATTTCTCATCTTCTTTTACACATGAGGAAACTGGGACATAAAGAGGTTAGATGACTTGCCCAAGGTCATGCAGCTTAATGGTAGAGGCAGAATCTGAAGAAAATCATTGTCTCCAGAGTCCATAATTAACCCATTTAGCATACAATCATTTTTAAAATGTTGAGTCGTGTCATCATAAGCTACCCTGAAACACAATATACCATCTTAAATGCCTAAAATCTAAGCTATATATTATAGTTGGGGACAAATCTTTTTCTTGAAGTTCACAGTGTTGTTTGCAATTGGTATCTAGAGGAAGGTATATTTTAGAATTTAATATATTCTTCTGTTAAGCATATGAGATTATAGGCACAGTATTTTTTATTGTGATGTAGTTGTTTGGTTTCTTTCTAAGTTGGAGGAAAGTCCATTATGTTACTTCATGTCAGACAATCATAAGTCAACCCTTATCCACGAATTTGCTTGTTATAATGTGAGCAGTGTATAGGTGCAATTTCAAAAGAATAACAAGAATTTCCCTTTGACAAACATTTATTCTCTCTTCTAGAAGCTTAAGGGTTACTGAGTCATGTCACTTAAACATAGAAGAACCAAAGAAACAGAAGATTGGGGAAATATGCCTATGCATGTCATAACTATAATTCAATAAACCAGTTTATTCCTAAATACTTTTCAAATCCATTTCCCCTACCCAGCTCCTTTCCTTCCCCAGTCCTGACTCAGACTCTTATCGGTTGCTCCTACAGCACTGTAATAGCCTCCTACTTGGTCTCTTCCACCAGTGCCTTTTCTTCCATTCCATTTTACACACCCTCTCCAGGCGACCTTGCTGACACAGAAAACTGACCCCATTGCTGTTCTTCTGAGAACCCTCCGCTGGGTCTGCACCATCCCAATAAGCCTGAACTCCTTCGGATGACATATAAGGCTTCCACAGAACCCTCTGCTAGTTGCCCAGCCTCCTCTTCCCCGAGGCGCTGTGCCCTTCACGCTTGGCTCTTTCAAGCACATGCAGTGCCTTTCCTGCTCTTGTTTGCTGGGAGAAAGCCTGGGGATTCTTTCAGGCTACATTTAACCATCACCCCTCTAGAGAATCCTCCTTTGACCCCCTCTTTACTTGTCCCTTAGAAAGAATTCTCTCACCTCTGTGCTTCCATAACACTTCACACAAACCTTTATTTTATCCCTTCCTGTGCTGTTTTATAATTCTTTGACTACATGCCAACCTTCATCCCCCCCAGAGGGAGGACCCCGTAAGGTAAGGGTTGTGTCCCCACACTCTACCTGCGGGATCTAACCCAGTGCCTAACGCGGAAAGGGCGCTTGAAAATGGTTGTGGACTGAGCAATGAATACATAATGAGTAATGGAACAAATTATATTGAAAAATATATATATATACTTATATATATAATGAAAAATTTTGGAAGTTTTGTCAAAGTTTCTTTCATGAGGTTATATATCAGTTCTGTTGGCCTAGAGACTATAACATGGACTAGATCCACAAAATCTCGGGTAGAGTCCTGGACTGTCACTAATTAGCCTCATGGTCTTGGACAGATCACTTAACCCATGGGTGCCTCCGTGTCTTCATCCAGAAGATAAGGATACTGGTAGCTAAAACCCCAAGGTTGCCATTAGGACTGAACAAAAATAATTCAGAGTCAAAACGCTTTGGAAAAATATAAAAAAGTGATTTCAGCAAAGCTTCCCACGACCAGACCTCTCATATCTAATTCCTTGCCAGGGAGGCATAATATGTATGTGTCTCTCCACCCCTGTCACTCATGGTTATCTGCTTATCTTCCCTTTAATCACTCTGGGTTATTGAAAAGGTTCTGGAAGGTTAGTTTTAGTAGGTCAGTATGTTCACAAGCATACTGAATTTCTAGAAGTTCTAGAATTGCAAAGAGCTTCTTAGAAAACATAGTCCACATTCAGTACAAAGAGAGCATGCCTTTATCAGACCATCAAAAGTCAAAGGCATAATTTGAAATGATGAACGTATCCATTTTAAGTTACACATTACTTTGCATAGTTAATATCACTGTAATTAGTCATAGTTTCTATAATTTATTGAAAAAGATGCTCATCCCTTTTAGTGTACCGCGGTGATGGATGCGGGGAGAACAACTTTGGAAGCTGGAATCAAGAAAATGAGTAGCAGTTGAAGAATTAGTATATAAATCAATAATACCCTTTTCTTCTTCATTCTGAAGCCAGGATTTTCATGTCGCACGGCAAAATCAGAGCACTCCCACAAGTTAGAGCTGTCCCCGCGCCCCGCAGGACTAGGCAGGCTGCTTCAACGGCAGGAAATGTTTAAAATCCTCTCAAACGTTTGAGTAAATCTCTAGTAAATATTTAAACTCTGTATAACTAGTCACAAATAAATTAAGCTGATTTTATGCAGTCTCTCTAATGAGAAGGGCACAGCATTTGTTGAAACGTGATTAGTATTATTCATTAAGCAAAAAAAAAATTCTCATTTGTATCTTATTATCACTATTCCGCATAAACCAACACAATTTGTCATGAACTCCCTCATTTGCTGTATCCTCAAAAAGCAGATTATGCTTATTTTTCATTTGGACAGTGGAAGATCAAGCCAGGTGTTTGGCAGCACCGGAGTGTTCAGGTGTAACGGTGCCAGCGATGGACCATTACGAGCAGCGCGGATGAAGGATGATGCTGGAGGACCCTGGGCCCAGGCGCCTGAGGCCCACCCCGCGCGGCGCCCCGCTGATAAGACAGGTGCCGCGGCCGCGGGGAGGGGAGGCGAACGGCAAGGAACTTTTCTGTAGTGTCAGATCCTTCCCCTTCCATCCGAACCTGAAAACGCTTGCTTGCTGGAATTCCTGCTGCATTCGAGCCACGAGCATGTGCGAGGTAACACCACCACAGCAGTGGCTTTGTTTAAGATATTTCCAAAGCATAAAAATTCAGCCCCACGATTTGTCTAGGACTGTCTGTCTGTCTAGACACATAAGCACTGTGCATATTTAGCTTTTCAGACGTACCGATATTGACGGATAAGACAAAGTCTACGCTGTATTCTCTGGGTGAGAGGGGACTGTGGGCTGCTTTCCTCCTCTGCAATCTATTCATTTTGTCTCTAAAATCTTCTTTGTTCTTTAGCTCAGGTTAGCGACTCCATTAATGCTGTGACTGCAGCTGCTTTATGATTCTGGCAGAAATAAGGACGCGGATGAGGTAGGTCTATAAAATAGTGGCGTGACGATAGGCAATTATTTTTTTAAGGTAGCAGTGCACTTAAATATGCCACCTCACATCCTGCCTGTCTTTTGGAACTTCGGAGCTATGAAGGACTGTGGACTGACTACTTGTCCTCCAAGGGCGTCACTGTCTCTTGTCTGTCTCTCTATTCCACTTTGTTGCATCACTATAATCTCTCTTGCTTTTGTAAACATTGCCTTTCCCAGGTCTTTCTCCCACTATTTCTGATGTGGTTGATTCTCTGAGTGGTGGGGGTAAAATATCTAAGAAGGCAGTATTGGGGAGAATGGTATTAATACACCCCTTCCTCACTTTGAAACCAGGATTTTCACTAAAAACATACACAGCAAAGGAGTGAGGGATGGTGGTGATCTTCAGATGTCGACAGGATGCTCCAGGCCAGGCTAGCACCGCGGTGTGGCTGCAAAAGCCACTCTAAAGCAAGCAGGAAGCAGCTACAGGGAGGCAGACTATGGCTCGCCTGAGAAAGGGCTCACTAACAGCTGTCCAGAGAATGGGCTGGCTTGTGAGGTGGTGAGCTCCCCATCACTGAAAGCAGTAAAGCAGAGTTTGGGGTAGGAGCTTGAATTATGTAAGTTCCAAGTTTCTTTCCATCACCAATGTTGATGATTCTTTGTTTTTAGAAAGGCTGTGCTTAACTGCCTCCATCAAGTAAACTGGGAGAATCCCCATGATGATAGAATTCCAAAATTCTTGCTCTTCCCTACCTTGCATTTTCTGAATCTTGCAAAGCCAGCTACCTGCTACCACACATTACCTGGCAAAGTTCTGTTAACACTAGGGGTGGCTGGTCATGCTGAGAGAACAGTACAATGCATGGCGCTTATAACTTTAGTTTTAGGGTACCCTTGTCAAGATTTCATGTGAGGAGATTGACAGACTCCTGTTTACTGCTGTGTGGCCAATGCACAGCTACCAAGTTAATGGCCCATCGGAAGTCATCCTTTGCTTTCACAGCATTTCCTTGTCTTCTCCATGAATGAGGACTTGTCCAAATGCAGGCTGTGGGGATCACATTTTGGATATAAATAGTTGATTCACTTGAAGGAATTTTACAAAGTTAAAAGATATTTAAGAATGTATCAGTGTGAGGTGGAATTAATTACAAGTTAAGGGGGTGAATACTATATATTATCTTCCCAAGTAGGAAGTGAGTTGTGAATCTAGTTTATCCGATAGATACAAGAAGAAATTGTGGTCAAAGAGTACCTAATTTTTGAAGTACAGATTTCTGGGTCTGGCCCCCATCTTATATTAATTTTTATTGATGTGTAACAAATTGCCACTGACTTAGCAGTATAAAACCACATCAATTTATTATCTCATAGTTCTGAAGGTCACGAGTCCATGCAGGCTGGTTAGGTTCTCTGTTTAAGGTGTCACAGGGCTGAAGTTGGGGTCCCACTAGGCAAGGTTCTTATTTGAAAGCTTTGGGAGAAAACCAGCTCCACGACCCTCAGGTTGCTGGAAAACTTCAGTTCCTGGCTGGATGTCAGCTTGAGGTGGCTCTCTGTTCCTGAAGACCATCCATTCGTATTTCTTCCCACATGGCCCTTTCAGTTGTCAAACCGGCAAAGGCACATGGAGTCCTTCTCATGGTCGGAATGGCTCTAACTTCTCTGCTGTTACATGTCAAAGAAAAATCTACTTCTAGAGGGTTCATATGATTGGAGTAGGCCCCGCCAGATAATCTCCATATTTTAAGGTGCGTCGACTTGAGACTTTAATTACATTTGCAAACTCCCTTCACAGCAGTACCTCAATTAGTGTTTGATTGAATAAATAGGGTACCGGGATCTTGGGGGCCTATCTTTAGAATTCTGCCTACCACACCTACTAAATCTGTGTCTCTTCAGTGGAGCTAAGAAAATCTGTCTTTTAAACAACAGTCCAAGTGTTGCTGATAAATAATTAAGTTTGAGAACTACTGGCTTAGAAGGAAAAGAAGAAAAGCAATGAAGGTTAGGTGTTAGGTGAGTGATGTAGAAAACAACTGCAACAAGAGTTTAGAATGAGGGACCACTGAAGACTGAAGATGCCAGTAGTTGAGGGATGTTCATGCAGAAAGGAACTGTAGAATTTCCAGGCAAGGGAGCAGGCCTGAGGAGAGGTTTGGATATGGAAAAGCCTGTAATTGGGCTTTCTGAGAACAATTAAATTGAATCTAGCTGGAGTGGAGCTGTGTAATTGTGATTTGGGGGCATAGGTGTGGGGTTGGGATTATGTTTTATAGCACCTTGATTGCCAGTTCAAAGAGCTGAAATAAAGGGAAGCCATGGCAAGTTTTTAAGAATAATTATATTTCAGAAGTTATGTGATATTATTCCCTTTATCTTTTTACTCACTGAGTTTCTCTGCAGTTGAGAGTTCTATTTTGATTTGCTTCCAGCAAAGTCAAAGTCTTTGCTGCATTCCAATAATAGCCAAACATTTTTATTATTTTTATTCCCAGAGATGAGGAAAGAAGGAGGTTTTCAAGTTGTAAGAAATGAACTTGCACATGAGAAAGGGTAAGGTGACCCAGGGCTCAGACTCTCTGAAGGAGAGTGAGGGCGACAATCTGAGTTTCTTTTAGAAGCACCTTTCTACACATGTTGATCCCTAAAGTGTTCTCCGTTCACCATCCTCCAGGTATAAATGAATTCCAAAGACTCTATACCCTTAGTGGGGTGTTGTGCATGGAGGATTATTAGTTACGACATAGTCATTAGAATTGAAAGATGAGAGTCAGTTTTGTTGTTTGGAACAGAAGGTGAACTACCTTGGAGCCAGGTTCAATAGCTTTGAATACCAGATGAAGACTGCAGATACGGGAGGGTATCATCTGACAAGCGTCTTAAGCAGATGGGTGACAGAATGGGTGCACTCGAGAGTGTGGTTCATTTAATGAATCCAGATAATGCTTCTTTAAATTTGAAAACACGTTACTGGGAAACAGCCAGCAAAGCTGTAACTTGTGGATTTGGTCTCTGGGTAAATCTACATGGGAAAGGGGGAGGGGCATATGTAGTTTTGGGGTCTGAAAAAGCCAAATTGCTTCTCGAAAGAAGCAGTCTAGGCCTTACTTAGTACAATTTATGAAAACTCAAATTAAGTGCTCTTCCCAGGACAGTGGGGAATTATTTTGGCAACAATTCTAAATCTTGTGTTTAAAATATTAAATGAACTATAGAAAAGATTATCTAGGCTCTTCCTTCTCTTCGAATGATAGAGGAAATTTCCCTGAATTTCTATATCACTGAACCACACAATATAGCCTTTAGTGATGTTTGACTTTACTTAGAATCATAGACTATAGAACCTCAGGAACTTGAACCCTTAAAATTCATCTAATCCCATTATCTTTAAAATTTATTATTTTATTTATTCATGTAACCATCAAGAATAACTGGATCATGCTAGGTGAGATTCCAGGACTATAAAGATGAACAAAACATATCCCTGTCTTCATGGAGCTCATGCTCTACTCTGGGAAACAAACAACAAAGCAGGGGAGCTAAGCCTCCACTGTTACCCAGCAGCAATGCGACTTAAAAAGATGGTGAGAGGAGATGTTAGTCATTATCCCCCCAGTGATAGTGAGGCCCAGTAAGAAGCTGAGGCTCCACCCCCACTTGGAATCAATGAGATTGAATAAGGTGGAGTGAGTTGGTTCTAGTCAGTCCTAAGCTTCTGACCTTCTTGGTACTAGTGGGGCACAGTGGGGAGCTAAACTGAGCTAATACCCCAACTCAAACCAAATGAGGTGGCATAAGTCAGTACCCCACTTTAACCAGAAAGATGTCTTAGGGACTGAAGAGGGAGTTGAGCTTCTGCTTCACTCATCTGCAATGAGACAGTGTGAGACAGAGCTCCATTCTTCCCTGGGTGATGTCAGCAGGGCCCAGAGGGAAGCTGTATAGATATATTTACCTAGCCCTAATACTATACCTTAACAGGAGGGCTGTCTACAAAAAGAAGATCGAACAAGGCCCAGAGACCACTAATACAAGATCCAAGATGTCCAGATACAACACAAAAACCACTCATCATCAAGAACCAAGAAAATAACAACTAGAAAAAGAAATGTTAATCAACAGGTACTAAAACCAGCATGAATCAGATTTTAGAATTATCTGATAAGAATTGTAAAATGGTAATTTTAAAATACTTCAAGAGAATGACAAATTCTCCTCAAACAAATTGTCTGAAAATCGTAGTAAAGAAATAGGAGTTATAAAAAAGAGCCAAATGGAAATTATAGAACATTAAAAGCAAAGTAAAATACTCACTGAATAGGCACAGTTTAGATTAGAAGATAGAATCAATAAACTTGAAAACAGATAAATAGAATTTACATAATCTGAATAAGAGAAAAAATAGACTAAAAAAAAAATGAAAGAAAGAGTAGGATGAAAAAAATTGAAGAAATAAAGTCTGAAAATTTCTAAAATTTGATGAAAGACATCACCTACATATTTAAGAATCTGAGCAAACCTTAAGTGGGATAAACCCAAAGGAATATATGACAAGATACATTAAAGTTAAATTTTGAAAACTAAATACAAAAGGAATCTTTAAAGTAGCCAGAGAGAAATGACATGTTACTTATCAATTGTATTGAACACCAATTTGAATTGAACATTAATACAAATGATAGTGAATTTCTCATCTAAAACCCAGAAAACCAGAAGGAAATGACACAGAATTTTTCAAATGCTAAAAAAAAGAATATTCAAATCAGAATTTTATATCCAGCAAAATATCTTCAAGAATAAAGACAAAAATCAAGACATTCTCTCACAAAGAAAAATTAATAATTTGTTCCTAAAAAAAACCATACACTTAAGAAATGGCTACAGAGGTTCTCTAAATAAAAAGGAAATTAAAGCAGAAGAATATTTGGAACTTAGGAAAGAACATCAGAATAAGAAAAAATCAGGGTAAATATAATGAACTGCTCTCATGAATTTCTT